GAACGTTCCCATGAATCACCTATTACACCCATAATCTAAACGTCCACGTTACTGCAAACAGCCCGAAATTCTCACAATCTACCGAGCAGTTTTTCACCGAAAAAGGAGGTTCGTCCTTTCAAGGCGATTCGTCACCAGTTCCGTTCACCGATACGTTTCTTCACGAATGACGTCGAGCAGGCCCGAGGCAGCGAAGGGACATCGAACCTCTTTAGGGGACAACTGATGCGTTTCCAATAGCGGCAGCATCGGTTGCATAACAGTGGTCTCCCGTGGAGAGGAGGAGGCATCGAGATAACCTCGAAGAATTCAGCAATGGATCGTGGAGATTGCGGTCCACGGGCGGAAAAGAACGGACGGAAATTACCGACACGCCAGCGAACGGGCAGAGGAAGCATTCGTCGAGAATCGCGGTAATGCTAATAACGTCGGGTTTCTCCGATGCAATGGAGGTAATTGAACGCTAAGGAGGAGGGATAGAGAGAGATGGAAACGAGTTACGTCTATCGTTGCGCCTCGTTCCAATTGGCGTGCACCTTTTGTTTCTTTCTCTTCGTTTAATGATTTACGATTGCGAAACTGGCAAATGGTAGAATAATGTGGAGCACGCATTCCGTACAAACTCGTGGATATTATCTTGATCTATGCTCGTGTACACGACGATGCAAACGTTCCTCGTTATTCCACGCTGCTCCTTTTCTCTACTCTCATTTTCAGCCTCTTTCTTCTCCTCCGTGGGTTTCTTTTCCTTCCGCCTTTTTACAGTCTTTTCTACTTGGTTTCTGGATGCCGTTGCGTGAGAAGGGTTTGTCTGCCGGTCACGGAGAGCCTTGTATCTCTAATTTATGGAATTTATCGGACATTTGCGTTTTCGAGTCTTTGCTCAGATGGTAACGCTTCTGTTTTCGAGAATTGAACAATGCGTAAGTGGGTCAGTGTGTTGAATGTGTTTACCGAAGAAGATGGAAGAACCCATATTAACGCGTGAGAATTATGTAAATGTACAGACGAATAGGGAATTAATTAATCTTGTATTCTAGTTATACTTGTGTATCAGAGTGTTCGTAGTGCAGAGTTTTAACGGGTTTTCGTGATAGAGACTGGGCAGATGTCGTTTAAAACAAAATGTCTGTGATTGAAAATGAAAATATAATTCTAACATCGTTCTTCACAAAATTACGATATTTCCTCGCAAACCTAATTTTCCCTTTCTATTGCCCTAATATTCACTCTACGCAGACATTCTTGCGACAAAGAAAGAACAGCCCTTCCAACTTTTGGTTACGGGAGTTACTGGTTGTTAAATAATTAATAATCCTTATTTTAAACTATAAACTTTTATTAGACACAAGGAAGGTTCGCTTTTCTACTTGATGGCAAGAGCACTGTATACAGACTGAGAATGCTCATACGCAACGACCGAAGGGCCTTTTGTCACGTATCATAAACATTTAGATCTTTACTAAGCAGAGGTGGTAAAGCTAAACGGATTTTTCCGAACGTATACAAAAGAAATATGTACTTCCTAGTAAGGCTTTAGATTGATTTTTGTTATATCTAACTGACTGATAAATCTAACAGTGAATTCTATTGAGATCTAGAAATCTACTAAACTTCGCTGAAATCTCCCAAAATTTGCCAAAATCTCTTCTCTTTGCCATTGCAAATTTAATCTAAAATTATTTGACTCGTGCAAGTCGTTAAAAAATTATTAATATTCTATTCATTCTATAATAGAATCTTGAAGTGTAATGAATATTGGATTATGGGAGTTATGGATTGTTAAATAATTAATAATCCTTATTTTAAACTATAAACTTTT